ACTCTCCTTTGCAGCCCCCTCAGTCTCCACTGCAATGAGACGTTACAAGCCTCACTTCCTGGCTTACCCAGCTGAGTTTCCACTGTCCAATATTATAAATCACTTCCTTGTAAACGCCCTCAGCTTCCTTGCTGTAGTCTCTATCACACTTGTCTAGTAAGGCCCTAATCCAAGATAAATACAACTCTCAGCCTGCTCTGTGCCTGTGCACAAGTGACTGAATGTGACTGGAGAAAATACATAATCATGTGACTGGCTTCTCTTTAAGTTCATGATCGTAAACCTCAATAGTGATCTGTTGAAGGTTCAGCAAAGGTACCATTGGAGAGAATACAATGTGAGTACGGGGTTCCATCCTTCAGTGCACAGTGTATACCTTTAATCAATGAACACTGTGCTGTATCCCAAACAGGTAAAATACTGGGTGGATGCAGGAGGGGTCCTGTCTACTGTCACGCCCAACGACCCACTCGAGGGGTCGGTGCTTCCCCCTGTGGAACTCTGGGCTCCTGCGAACCAGAGAGTGAGTGCTTCCTTAATTTTTGCTCCCTAGTAGCCTCTCTTGCCTGTCCCCAGCGCTGATGGGTGCGGAGGTGCACCACCCGGATCTCCCCTCCAGTGTCGTCCTGAATTCAGGCAAGAAGCACTGACATTCCTTTGTGCACCAGTGGTTGGGTGCCCCAGGGAGGGGGTGTGACTGTGAGCAAGGCAGCTCTTGTCACCCAAGGACGAGTCAGAGAGACGCAGAGCCCTCAGCCACTACCGCTCCCTGCACGTAGGGAGATGAGTGCCCACCCTGCTGCTCTAATCAAGCCTTCCCCTCCACGGGGCCTTTGTACTTCCTCTTCCTTCCACCTGGATGCTCTTTTCCTAGAATTCCAAAAGACTCACTCCCTCACTTTCCTTAGCCAGGGGTGGGGAACCTGCTGCCTCTAGATCCCCAAGTGCAGCCCGTTGACCTAATGCAAATCCCTTTATTAGAAGGATTTGTTCTGTAAAATTTGCATTCAGTCAAAAGGCTGCACTAAGGCTTAGGCCTATGCTCAAGTACCTGGTTGCTGGAGAAGTCTCCCTTGACTGCTATATATAAACTAGAACTCTATCTTTCAATATTCTCTCCTGTTACACTGCTGTATTTTTCTTCATAACGTTTAGCAACACCTTATATATTGTATTTTACTATCTTAGCTGTGTATTTTGGCCTTCCTCTGCCAGAGTTTATGCTCCATGAGTGCAGGGCTCTGGTTTGTTTTTGTTTGTATCCCCAGTGCCCAGAATAGTTACTAGTATGCAGTAGGTACTCAATATATATTTGTTGAACGCACAAACTAAAATCCCTTGAATTCTTAGTAGTCAGCTCACAGAAGGCAGAGTGGCTTTGTGGAAGGAGCTTAGGGTTTTGGAGTTAGACTGATTTTTTTTAACAGCTTTAAGCATAACTGACATATAATAAATGGCACATATTTAAGGCATAAACTCAATACATTTTGACATATATATATACACTCATGAAACCATCACCACAATTCAGGTAATGAACATATCCTTCATTCCCAAGAGTTTCCTCTTGCACTTTTGTAATCCCTCCTTCTCACCCTTCCCCATCCCCAAGCAAGCACTAATCTGCTTTCTATTTTTAGAGTAGTTTGCATTTTCTAGAAATTTATATAATTGGACCAAACCAACTGTATTCTGTTTCTTTGGTCTGACTTTTTGGAGATTCATCCATGTTGTTATGTGTATACTAGTTTATTCTTTTTTTGGGGGGGGAACTATTTCATTTCTTTATCGCTTACCTCGGGTGATGGACATTTGGTGTGATTATTAAAAATAATGGTATGGTGAGTATTTGTATGGACATAGGCTTTCATTTCTGTTGGGTAAATACCCAGGAGTGAAGTGATTAGGTCATACAATAGACATGTGTTTAACTTTTTAAGAAACAGCCAAATTATTTTCAAAAGTGGTTGTACCAGTTTACATTCCTATCAGGTATGAGATTTCTGGTTGCTCTACATCCTTGTCAATACTTGGTATAGTCAGTCTTTCTAATTTTAGACATCTAATAAGTGTATAGTGGTATCTTTTTTTTTGAGACAGAATCTCACTCTGTTGCCTGGGCTAGAGTGCCATGGTGTCAGCCTAGCTCACAGCAACCTCCAACTCCTGGGCTCAAGTGATCCTCCTGCCTCAGCCTCCCGAGTAGCTGGGACTACAGGCATGCGCCACCATGCCCGACTAATTTTACATATATATATATATTTTTTTAGATGTCCAGCTAATTTCTTTCTATTTTTTTAGTAGAGACGGGGTCTCGCTCTTGCTCATGCTGGTCTCTATCTCCTGAGCTCAAACGATCTGCCCGCCTAGGCCTCCCAGAGTGCTAGGATTATAGGCATGAACTACCACGCCCGGCCAATGGTATCTTATTGTGGTTTTAATTTGCATTCTCCTAATGATTATTGATGTTGAAGATGTCTTCCATGTGCTTATTTTCCATGTGTATGTCTTCTTTTGTAAAGTGTTTATTCATACCTTTTGCTCATTTTTTTATTGAGTTGTTTTCTTATTATTGGGTTTTTAGAAAACATACACACTCTCTCTCTGGATATAAGTCTTTTACAAGATATATGATTTGCAATTATTTTCCCCCAGTCTATGGCTTGTCTTTTTATTCTCTGGGTAATAGAGAAGTTCTTTTTTTCTCTTTTTTTCTTTTATTTTTTATTTCTGCATATTAAGGGGGTACAAATGTTTAGGTTAGGCCGGGCGCAGTGGCTCATGCCTGTAATCCTAGCTCTCTGGGCGGCCAAGGCAGGCGGATTGTTTGAGCTCAGGAGTTTGAGACCAGCCTGAGCAAGAGCGAGACCCCGTCTCTACTAAAATTGGAAAGAAATTAATTGGCCAACTAAAAGTATATATAAAAAAAAAAAATTAGCTGGGCATGGTGGTGCATGCCTATAGTCCCAGCTACTAGGGAGGCTGA